ATTAATATTATTTTTGATTGTGAAACACCATTTTTAACAGAAGTAGGTTAAGGATTTATCCTAATAATACAAAATAATTAATTTACCTGAAAAAGTTCCGAATTATAATATTGATTAATAATAATTATTATTAATAAAAGTTATTTTGAATGAAATTATTTTAATGTGAAAAGCATTAGTATTTATAGGAAATTGAAAATATCGATAGAATATTTATCGATATACCTAATTTTTAAACTTGCAAATCGCTAATTGAAAAAATAATAATAATAACTCCGGCGGCCCGGCGCCTGCTATGAATGGCCGCGCGTGCGGCCGCGCGACTATACGGCGCCTTAACCATTTATGGATCTGATGTTTGAAACATTTTTTCAATATTATGTCGATTTAGAACTTATTTAGCCTACGCACTGTAACTGACCTCTGCTTGACATTTTTTAAGTTATGTTATTTTTGAGCCATTAAACAACTCTTCTATATACTTTTAAGTAAATATTATACATATAGGTACATACAAGTACAAATCGTTTTCTCAATTTACTCCTGTTGAAGTATGTTCTGTATTCTAGATATTCTCTTAGGAAGCTTCTGAACGAAAGGTAATTTGTATTCTAATGGCAAATCTTTAACAAAGTTGAGGTTATTGATCTACCGTTTCTTAACAGATTATGGGAAGCCTGATAGTTCAACCATTTTGCTGTATCATTCCTTGATTACCAATATTGTTTTAATATTTTTGGATCTTACAAATATTTTAGTAAAAATTATATTTAAAATTATAATAATTTTAAGGGGACTTAAACAACTACTATATGAATTGTTAAAGTTTAATATTTTTAATATTGTTGTTTCTTTAAGATAAGTTATATGTTTAGAAACAATTATTATTAAACGGCTTCAGTATATACCTACATATCAAAGCGTATTTGGAGAGTAAGAAATGTTTTAGTCAGTTTGAGGCGTCATATAAAATTTTAAATTACCGTTTTAAATTGTAATTGCGTTGGTGTTATTTATGAATTTGAAACTTTGTTTAAAATAATTTCGAGTGTACACGAAATATAAAAAATATATTATTATTATCGTAGAGAACATCTCAACATCGCATCAACTTTTTCTTTTTTAATAACTGATTTACATATAGTGCTGCCATTGAGCAATTTGAATTTAACTTTGTCCTATTTGTTTTTCATTTTTCGTTATTGTTGAGCATTTCAACTTCTTTCGCTATTAGGCAACCACATAAAAACTCATTACAGAATATTTTTATAATACCTAGTAGTAGGACTCAGAGTATCAGCCATGAGGCGAGGCTGACGACGCGCACTTTTTTTTTATAATTATTTCTATAAATCCATTATCACTTCCCTTGTTACATATATCGAATTTTTTATCATAATTTTATATATAATTTTTGATACAAAGAATAGGTTACTTGAATTTGATCAGAATGAAATGGAACAGAATCTTAATAAGAGATGCTGAAGAAAATGTATTTTTAAACCTTTATATCTGAAAATATTGACCTACTTAACTTTATTTATTACTTTATGGTTTAGTAACTTTCAATTAACTCAGATCATCAATTTCATATTTTAAACTTGATTAACTATAAAAATTTTCTACTTTTAATTTATATAATATTTACTTATTATAATTTTGTATTATTTTTATATACTTACATATTAAACTACTACCTGTATTGAATGATTCATATTCTACGCTAATATAACAATTATTTAATTATATAAATAGATAAAAAATTAATAGAATACTTAACTGATTGATCCTTCAAAAGACTGATATATTTTTGTAAGACATTTGTTTACCCGTAGGCTGTAAAAGTAATAGAATATTAGTAACATATAAGATAAAGGTATGGGAAAATATATTACTATATCTCTGGTCGTTTCCTTAACTACATACATATGTATAACCTTTAACCTATGTAGGGGAGAGTCGGTTATATCGTACCACTTTTCACTTTAACTCAAATTTTTCGACTATAACACGTCTTACAATAATTAATGTTCTATATAACCTAAACTTTTAAAACTGAATTCAACATGCTAACCTACTTCTTTATATATCGCTTGAAGATAGCAAATGTTGCTTAGACTCAAAAAATATAAAGGCAATGATAGAATCAAATAGTTATAATTTTTTGCTAATCAATGGCTAGAACTTAATATTATTAAAGTGTCAGAAGGTTGTAAATCTCTCACTGCTGTCTACAATAATTTTTCTTTACCTTTTAATAGAATATTATGTCTAACATTTTTCTCATTCAAATGTATTTAACTTAACCGCTGTCAGAGTAACAGAATACGTAATAAGTAATACTCGTTATGGTTTTATATATATCTTTTTTTCATATAATTGAAGCTACTGATAAACTAATTACATATTCAAGTATTCCACTTGTTACTTGTAATGATTGCAATCTTAAGACCCGTTACGAGAAACGAGTTGCTCTGGATATTTATATCCTTTTATTTAATTTTGCAATATATTTTATCTGATATCAGACTGTTTAAAAAATTGTATAGGAGAAACTACTTTTTTCGAGTTTTTGTATTTAATCATAAATAAACATATAGATTGTTTTGTAGCTGGTAGATGCTAGATGTGGTCAAGTAATTACAGCTCTAATATGGGCTGACTCGATCGGGAAAATACAGGGTGTATTCACAGAAAATCGAGCTGAAGTAGTTTTAATGGCTGCGTTTGATCCGAAAAGTGAGAAAGCCGGTTGTCCTTTCCCTGTTCTCATCCTACCCTGTCATTTCCTTATTCTAGGCCCTACCACTTCCTAAACAACCAAGGTTGGCAAGGCATCAGCAACAGAGATGTTGCGGATATCCATGGGCGACGGTGACTACTGCCCACCAAGTAGGCCATCTGCTCGTTTGCAACCATTCACAAAAGAGACACACTCTCAAACACAAATACAACACTTATGTACATATATTAAAAACAGAAACGCAGCCGCACGTAATATATAAATTTTCTTCTCTCACTCTCTCATCGATAATTCTCCCGTTAACATATTTCCTTTCAGACGAAATTTATTAAAAAGCCAATGAACTCAGACAATTCTTTATATCTATATACCATATATTACAACCAATTCCTATTTTCCATCGTCAAAGAACGTCAAATATGATGTTCTAAGAATGAACCCGGCTTATATGATCCCTTAAAAATTCCTGGGACATTCAATCAAATAATCAAATATAAAATATCGCTCAGCCGAATATTTTTTGCTTCGTACCTTTCGATTTTCCTATACATACCGAGATTGCAAGACAAATTATTGTATTATCGAAATGTAAAAATGTCAGCGGTACATCATTCATACAACAAAAATATTTGATCAATTTGTGTATTTGGTATTCACATAAAATATAAAAGTCTAGAAGCGGCTTTTCAAATATAATTTTTATTAAAGGTTAAAACTGGATATTAAATGTTTTATGTTTCCTGTTTAAGTCACTTTTGCGTATATTTGGTGCCAGTTACCTAATTAAAATGCAATAAAACTTTGTTTTCACTACATTCGTAGCGAGATATGAATCAAAATATTATGATTTCCACATGATTTCATAAGTAAACATAACAATTACCATTTACCATATAATCTATGTAGTCTACGTCTATTAAGTGACATACTTTACCTATTCGTTCATATATTGAGTACTGTTTTCATCTGAATATATAAATTAAATAGAATAATACATTAGAAGTAATAATTATCGTCTGCAGTAAGATTATATAATAAATGTCCCATCTAATAATACTGCCTCAATCAAGATCACTTCCCGTGTTTCATAATCTGTGTACACGACTACACTCTTAGCTCGGGAAGATCAAATGAGTTTGTTTTGTTGAGTTGAGCTCGCCACGTGATCAGTCTTGTGTTAAAAATGGACCGAATTTAATAACAGATAAACAAATGATGGTTAAAAAGAATGGTTTAAGATATTTGGTTATTGCTTAACTTGTTTTAGCTAGCGTATTTGCTTGTGTGATTGGAGCTTGTCATTCAGCTTCGATGAAGAAGATATATATTTATATAGATTAGATAGAAGAAGTTTGAAAACAAATAAAAGTAAAACAAAATTAGTTTCGATATAAATGTAAATAGTTTAAGTTTAAGATACATATTATTTGATAGTAATTTGTATTAATACTTAAAATAATAATGAAATAATATCTCCCATACCTATATATTTTTAATTCAATAAAATTATTAATATACTAATTTGTAGATATTCTAATACATCTCAATAAGCCTTTAAAAATCTCTGTAGCAAGGATTTCCTCTCAGAAAGACAGGATCAACACCGTCCGTGATTATAAAAACGAGAATATTCTCACGTTTTTTAAAATAACATCTTTAAAGACAGTGTGAATGACAACAAAATGGTCTGCAAGGAGATTTATCTTTTTGATGTACAGAATACATAAATTTAATTCAAATCATTTACCTTGCTTTAAACTCAATTTCTTAGTTGGGAACATAATATTAAAAATGGTCTATTTGAAATTCAAAATGGCCGCCGCGTTTTCATTCGATAAGATAATCATGATTTATAGTAAATCGAATTTATTTTTATCGTTTTCCTATTGATATTAAAATAATTTGACACATCATATTATAATATAAATATTTATATTTTATAACATCAGTATTTTTTTTATAGTTCAAAGGAATTTCTTTTATAGTTATTATTAAGTGACGTAAATTTTTGATAAATTTTGTATATGTATCAAAACTTGTAAAAATAGCATTTTTCTTACAAGAATATACCTAGCTATATAAAACTGTTGCTAATAGTTGAGTAACAAATTATTACTCTTTTTTTATTCAAAAATTCGGGAAAGCAATTTTTGTCCTCATTCCCAAAAAAGATATAGTTACTGATCCGAAAGATACTAGACCGATAGCTTTAACAAATACTATATCGAAAATCTTTTTCTCGGTTCTACAAACGAGAATGACGCGATTCATGCTCAGCAACAACTATTTTAGGCCAAATCACCAGAAAGGGTTTTTACCCGGGATTTCTGGATGCCTAGAACACAACACCTTGCTGTCGGAGAGTTTGAAAGATGCTAGAAGAAGCGAGCGGCAAATCACTGTTTGTTGGATAGACTTGGAGAACGCGTTCGGGTCGATACAACACGAATTGATGCTATTCGCGCTTAGATGGTACAACTTTCCACCCCTAGTTAGAGATATGATCGCGTCGTATTACTCAAAATTAAGGTTTTCTATAATAACTAAAGAAGGCCCTTCAAAAGTTTGAGTTATAATGTAGGATTGTTTCAAGGTTGTTGTCTATCTCCAATTACGTTTAATATCGTTATTAACATCTTAGTAGACAAATTAATCTGTAACGAGAAAAAATGGGGTTATCGGTTTAAGTTTAATAATAAATACACGGAATCCATTTTAGCCTTCGCTGACGATCTCGCAATACTGACACGTAACCCCAAACACTGTCAAGTACTATTGGATGAAGTGGATAAATTCTGTGAGTGGACGGATGGATTGAGGACAAAACCCAGTAAATGTCATTGTCTGTGTCTTGGTCGGCGGAATACACCTCATACGATCCGGGACTATCGTTAGGCGGTCAATGCATTTCTACGGTTACGGAAAATGCACCATTTAAATTTCTCGGTCGTAAGATTGATAATATAGGCCGTACTCCATCTTTAGAAGGAATAGTAGATAGCTTTTTGAACGATCTTAACAAGGTAGATAGCCAACTGATAAGTAACGTCAAAAAAGCGTGGATCTACGAGAATTACTTAACTTCACGTTTGAATTGGCCTTTCCTCGTCTATGATTTTAATAAAACCCTTTTGTCAAAGTTAGATGCAGGCGTCATAAAGATGTTGAAGTTGTGGCTCGGGCTCGCTCTAACGGCTGATTCATCGGCGTTATTTAGGGGAAGCAATAGTTTTGGGATGAGTCTAAAAAGGCCATCGGAGCTCTATAAACACCTAAGAGTTTCCAAGAGATATATCCTGGGGAAATCCCATGATGACATAGTGACATCGCTCCCAAAAGATGAAGATGCCCCCGAGCTAGAGTCACGACTTCAATTCCATAAGCAATTTATGATAGGAGCGCAAAGTAACAGAGCGGGGTTAGGATCAAATAGGAAAGTCCAAGATGCGGATATATTGAAGTCTTTTATTCGGCAAGACGAGAATGATAAATATAAGATCCATGCAATGAATTTAGAAATGCAGAACGAGTGGTTAGACATAGGAGATTTTTGCATCCCATTAGCATTAAAATGGCGCACTTTAATTTATGATTGGTCGCCAGCATTGCTAAAATTCTATCTCAATGCGTTCCAGATGACTCTCCCAGATCAGAGTAATTTAGTAAGATGGGGTAAAAGTACCGAAAAAACTTGCTATATCTGTGGAAAGGCAGTTGGAACTGCTAAGCATCTGCTGGTGGGATGTAAGGTACTCCTGGACAGCGGTCAATACTCGCGTCGTCACGATAGGGTTCTAGAAGTCATACGTGAAGCGGTTAGTCTTTCGGTAGCCAGAGCGCAAAAGGAAATAACCACAAACGAACGATCAGTAGGTTTTGTGAGAGAAGGCACTAGGGCTACAAAATCAAACGTCAAGCCTTACTCCATCCTTAAAGCGGCGTCGGATTGGACAATATTGATGGACACGTATGAAAAACAATATAAAATCCCCGAGGATATTTGTGCGTCGGCCTCCAGACCGGATATATTTTTGTTTTCGCGAATTTTAAAGCGCGTAGTGATGATAGAGCTTACGGTCCCTTGGGAAACCAACATCCCCAAAGACCATACCATCAAGGTCAACAAATATTACGAGCTCACAAACGAACTCACTCGAAATAGGTTCGTAGTAGATTTGTACGCGGTAGAGGTGGGAGCGAGAGGTATAACAGCGAAATCTCTCTACAACCTACTAAAGGACTTGGGCTTGTCCAGAACTCACATTAATGCATTCTTGGAACGTATATCGAAGGCAGCCCTAGTAGGTTCTTTTCAAATTTGGTTAGGTAGGGAGAGGAGCTTGGACAGTGGAGGTGAGCGTATAACGCGCGTTAGTTAAGGGGCCCCTTAAACCTACACTTGGGTCGCAAGTCCCAGGCACTGTTGAAGCTCCTCTCCCTGCAACGCGATGGACCCGGCACCCGCACGGTGAATCCATGGAATGCTTAGTAGTTTCGTCTGTCTTTAAGTCATATGAAAATTGGTCAAAATATATTCAAACGGAATGGATATCTAAAACACCAATATAATCGTTTTCTAAAAAAATACCTTTAAACATAGTAACTATTTATATACTATACATTTCTAGTAACTCAAAAACAAAATCTGATCTGATTTCAAATTTGTATTAATATTGAAAATTGAAATATAAAGCAATAGTTTTTTACAAAAAAAAATCTTGGTGTACTAGAATGGTTATCGGATTCATAAAAATTAAATCAAAACACGACTGTCAGAACACATTGACGTTATTTAAAATCGATAATTATAGTTTTGAACTAGATCCAAATATTATTAATAGTGGGAACATTAGAAAACGTCAAACGATAAATCAATTGCTGCCATATCAAAAAAAAGTGTCGCTACATCTAGTTAACAGCAATGGAATTAAAATATAAAAGTATATTTTATTTATTATAAAAATCGATCCTTTTTATCTTTGCTAGATATTATTCAATAAGTATTTTATGTTTCCGTTCCAAACAGGTTATTGTTTAATTGATTGGTGGATTTTAATTAGCGACAAATATTATGCGAATAAAATTAAATTAAGAGGATGATGTACTGTTTATGAGACATTGTATGATGATGGTCATTGGATATAAATTAATTTTATATCTTTTATAGAAATATTAGTTGATAAGTATAGTTTCAATTGTGTTCTAAAGTTATTTTCTTTTTACGCTACGTATAAAAAACTTTGTAATATACTAAATGGTTAACTTGACGGTAAAATAGTAGTAAGACGGAAAGCTATTAGCTCATTCCGTCTTAATGTCTACTAGTTTTACAAAGTAACTTATAAGTTAACACTTTAAATTTTTTGTATCAATGTTCTTAAATATAATCTATACTAGAGCGTTTTATTATAGTCTGTGGACTTCTTACATGCTTTGATGACATCTATTCATATTATAAAAGTTTTTTAATCAGATAACATTTCATTACGTACATGGTCATTAGCAAAAAAAGTAACGTTAAGTATAAAACTATGCTTAAAGCAATAATAAAAATAAATAGATAATATAACATTTATGATTTGTCCATTTTTAGAGTTACAATCAAACCAAAAATTGGTTTCCGCTCACACATTGGAAAGTCATGGTAATATTCTGGTTGACGTACTTAAAATGGCGGCTAGGAAAACAATTATGTTTATTTTAATTACATTGTATAATAAGTAAGACACAATTCATCCAACAAATAATAAAATTGACATTGGCAAAACATTCTACGATTCCAGTGCGAATAAAGCCATGGAAGAAAGTGAGACAAATTTCAAGGACGACTAAAATATTCTACGGAGATAATAAAGCAAAACTTATTTAAACTCCCATAAATTGGTAAATAAGTTGTGTCCTTACTATATCTTTCCATTGTTACACTATTTAAGGAGCGTTTTTCGGTGAGGTTATGTTTTGTATACTGTTGTAGATACAAAACAGAGAAGAGCAAAGACATATATTCTATCTCTCTTTATTATTAAAACCCGTAATAAATTGAATATTGCCGAAAAATTATATTATATCAATATAAAAGTATAAAAATATGAAAGTTAGTGGAACCAAAAAGTTTTTACCTCATTCGTACGATCAAAAACACACTCGCTTTGCTTAAATCGCTTTTTATACATAGTCTGTTTGATTAAAATTTTTGGGATTATCGCAAAGTGAAATACTTCAAGCGATATATAAATGCACAGAACGAGTTCAAAATATAATACATTTTAGAATTGTGTGAAAATAATTTAAATGCGTAACTTTTATTAGTATTAGCAGTAGAAAATATTAGAGTAATCCTAAATGCAAAATAATTGAAATTTATCATAAATTCAAAGTATAAACATGTAGTGCAACGCGATTCAAAATTAAATCAAAAATCCTGTATGGGTATCTTTTCCAAAAACATTTATACGAAATAACATTTAGGTTAAAAGTTTATTATAATATTTGGCTGCAACAAAGTAAATAGAGGCGCGTATAGAATACTCCCTGTTATTATTCATAAGCTGTGCTAGCGACGCGGGGAGGTGGATACGACGGCAAGACTCAAGAGAAACATTTCCGTCAGTTAAGCTCGGACGGCCGTGGCGTATGTATGTTACTCGTCACTCCCTTTGAACATCGGAAACGACGTTTACGATATATGTATTAACGTGATATTTTTCTGTGTTGTGATCAAACAGTTTATTGTGACAGAATTATGTGGAATTAGATTAATTTATGGTTGTGTGGTTTGTGTTTCGGAGGTTTGTCGGAATAGTGCTAGTTACACAGGTTGGTCAATACCTAAAATTATTTTAGTTGTATTTAACGGTTTATGTGTAAGAAACTAATTGATTTCATTTGAGTTTTAAGAATTATTTTGTTTTTATTATATTAATTGTATAAAATTAATAGAATTATATATTCATATATATTATTAATAATTTGAATATGTTATATGAAAACTGCATTATTGGAGCGTCGCGTCGTTTCGTTTATTTTAAAAAATAACGGTATTTGTTATGTATACTTAAGACCTGTTTTTATTAATTATTGAAATAAAAATAATTAATACTAATTTTTTAGCCGTGAAATTATATATGTTCTCATCAAAACCTATTTTTTTCTATTACTAGAAAAACTTTTTCTGCGATCCAAAAACATCTTATTAATTCCAGAAACTTCTACGGCTTTTTTCTTACTGTTTAAACTAATTTGATCTTTTGCCCCATATGACATTTTTTGATACAATTTATATTTGAAAATTAATTTAATATTTTTTTATGAATCAATCGTCCTTAATAATAGTAATCGTATAATTTATTAATTATTTTCAGTCACTTAAATAACAATATAAATTTTAGCTCATTTTGTCATAACATTAAATCGTTTCCGTTAGAATTTTATTTATTAACTTGAGGAATCTTATAAATTACATACATTAAAATAAAAATTTGTTTAACATAAAAAAATCTTTTTAAAATATCTGCTACTTGAGAATATTAGTAGTTCGTATCTTATAAAAAGACTTCATATTTAATTGGC